CATTTGCCCCTTCATACTATGAGGATTTGGAGGAACCCCTGGGGAGGCCAAGGGCACCCTGGTGGAGAGAGGCAGGCTTAGACTATGAAATCGGCAAGTCTTGTGGGAATACATGTGATTTGACCTTAAAGGAGAACTATGAGGGGAGTGAAAATCCCTCCTCCTCATAGTTCGAGCCGACATGTGACCACGAAACTGTCACACGTCGGCTCAATAGATCGAGAAGTGAGCGAACACATAACGTCGCTCGCTCACCTCCCTGCAGAGAGCGGTGACTGTCATTCACAGCTCCCTGCAGGGATTCCTCCACCCCCTCCGATCCTTCAGTGCTGATTGGAGGAACGGACGGAGGACGGGGGCGGGCACAGCTGGCTCTGCCTCTAGATAGCAGCTGGGTGAATCTCGACTTTAATGTCGGGATCCGTCCCGGCTGCGGCGTCTCAGTATACAGGGAGCTGTAGCTCCCTATATACTGAGCTTTGGGTGACTGGAGGACGCTAGTTTGTGTCCTCCCGTTACCCTTTAGGAGAACTATGGGGAAAAGCCCTGACCCCATAGTTCTCTTTTAATTTCTGTGCAGACCTCCGGGAAAGGCAGTGAGACCACTACATGAGCAGGGGGATGAGAAGTTTAGTCAAATCCTCAAATACAGGATACTCGCGGTTACAAAAGAATAGTTCTTGTCAGCTTAAAGGAGAACTATGAGGGGGGGAGGGGCTTTCCACTCACCTCATAGTTCTAGCCGACCGGTGACAATGAGACTGTCACAGGTCGGCTCAGTAGATCGGGAGGTAGCAGAACACATACCGGCGTTCGCTCACTTCTCGATCCTGTCACGGCTCTCTGCCATGATAAGGGAGGGGCTGGATTCCCCCCTCCCCGCTCTGATCCTCCAGCGCTGACTGGCGGAACGGACGGGGGAGGGGGCGGGTACAGCTGGCTCTGCCTCTAGATAGGCAGAGCCAGCTGTCACTCACACAGCTGGGCGGATCCCGGCATCGATGTCGGGATCCGCTCCGGCATCTCAGTATACCGCGAGCTGTAGCTCCCTATATACTATACTCCTTGTGTCCTTCCGTTACCCTGAGGAGAACTATGGGGAAAAACACTGACCTCATAGTTCTCCTTTAAAAAAAAAAAAATTAAAATGCCTTTTCTAGCGATATGCCAGCCAAGGTCATGAAACTGCAATGTACCTTCAGTTCTAGACCCTCTGGCAGTTCATCAGGCGACGCAGACTCGGATTCTTCTCGCACGGCGTCCCGCGGGCTCCGCTGGCACTTTCACCGTCTTAGAACGAGTCAAACACCAATGAAATGTTAGGCGCTCTTTATTTTCTCTCGCTATGATGAATGAATGAACACATTAGGAAACGGTCCCCACGTTTACAGAGTCAATCGTACAACGCACGGTATTTGGCCTTTTACATCCACATAAAACAATCTGTTTTTGTAAAATTAATAATCATTTTTTTTTTAAAAAGAAAAAAAAATCTAAAATCATATCTATAAAAAATAAAAAGTTCGCCGGGATCAGCTGAGACAGAGCAGGCGGCACGCTGTAAAACGATGCTTTTTTTTTTTAATGCGGCACACAATCCTGCTGATGGGTCCCCCACCTCTGCTATGTTGAATGGTGACAATCACCTTCATGGCAGGCTTGCTGCCCGAGTCAAAATCCCACTGATAAGCCCTCTCCCTCTGCTATGCTGCATGAGCACGCTCGCCTCCAGAGCATGCACGCTGCCCGAGTTGAATACCGGCGCTCACACCTGATTAAAAATGTATCTCCATCTGAGCAGCGTGGCCCGAACGGCAGTGTGGGGGAGAGTCAACCAAGCTACCTCAGAAGCCATGGCACAGATCTGAATGGGACCAAATGCTCTATGCACTTGGTCCTCTAGTCTAGGGGAGTCCACAATGATTTGGAAATGATGATACATGCGGAGCGACGGGGAGACGACGGTGGAACGACGGGGAGACGTCGGTGGAACGACGGGGAGACGTCCGGTGGAGCGACGGGGAGACGTCGGTGGAGCGACGGGGAGACGTCGGTGGAATGACGGGGAGACGTCGGTGGAATGACGGGCATAATTTCCTTTAATGAAGCTCATGGCACAAATCTGAATTTTTCAGTCTCCTGCAACTCTTCCCCAAACACTTCTAACTGGCCAAGACTGGCCTCATGATGGATACATTGCGAACAATCTCCAATATATATTCCCGGGAATCTCATATTTGGCTAGATGAACAGTATTGGTGGAAAAAAAATAATCTAAAACTGTTTAAAATGGGAGATTTTGTTTTATTGCTTAAAAGTGAACCTGTCAGTCACTTAAAAGGTAAAAGTGCAGTCTAAGAGCGAGGCACCGCAAGGTTCCGGCTGTTATCTAGCTTTTAGCTCCCTGACTTCCAGCCTAAGACCCACCCCAGAAAAATAACCCCGCCCACTGATCATATATTTGCAGCATAAGAGTTGCCCAGAAACAGACAAAGCGGCAAGGGTTGAGATAAACTATAATATTGCCAGGGGTGGGGTCGGCACCCCTGCCAGTGTTATGGTTTGCCCCAACCCTGATCACCTTCATTTTTAGATGTGAGAAAATATAAATAAAAGGCACGCGGAAAAAAATTCCATTTATATACTGACCAGTATCATGACATATATATAACCACAAATATTTACCGGAATACCACGTTTTTCAAGACCTTTTTATGTTCATCTTTACTGGATGGGGAGGTTATAGCTTGAAAGTCACAGCAACAACCTGATACAATGTTTAAAATATTGCAACAAAATCGATGCTTTGACATGTTCCTCCCCAGGTTAGCAGAGGTGGGATACCCTGGAACTTGCACCAGTCCCAGGAGTCCTCCCCCAGGTTAGCAGAGGTGGGATACCCTGGAACTTGCACCATTCCCAGGAGTCCTCCCCCAGGTTAGCAGAGGAGGGTTACCCTGGAACTTGCACCAGTCCCAGGAGTCCTCCCCCAGGTTAGCAGAGGTGGGTTACCCTGGAACTTGTACCATTCCCGGGAGTCCTCCCCTGGTTAGCAGAGGTGGGATACCCTGGAACTTGCACCAGTCCCAGGAGTCCTCCCCCAGGTTAGCAGAGGTGGGTTACCCTGGAACCTGCACCATTCCTAGAAGTTCCTCCCAGGCTTAGCAGAGGTGGGTTACCCTGGAAGCTGCACCATTCCCAGGAGTCGGGAAATGGCAGCCCTCAAAAGCTCTCCCCAAGCTGCTTATTCCAGCCACAGGGAGCCGGTTATATTTCAGGCATCGTCACCCCACCCTATAGAAATGTAAGGCCACACACCACTTCCAATCACATATTCTCTGGTGAACAAGCGGCAGAGACACTGCAACCGTTCCTCTCCCATGACGCATTTCACCTTCTACTGGGGCCTAATTGTGGTGCACTACAATTAAATCAGCAAGAATGTATTGAAGTGTCGCCACCACTTGTCCAATAAAGTTCTGAATATGCGTTAGGAAGGAGTGCGCAGCATTACATTTCTACGTCTAGGAGGGTTTACTGCATGCAAGTTATGTGGTCGATGTCTGTAACACTTTGTATGTAAAAGTCAATTTTCTAGCCTCTGGTTGGTGATAATATTGAGATTCTTCAAGGAGACCACAGAACATGGAGCCGTTTCCCAGTATCGGTGCCTACTCCTAAGGTGAGACGCTATGAGTGAACACTGATAGCCCTAAACACGTCATGGTCTCTGCACAATGCTGTGTGTGTATATATATATACACTGAGTGGCCAGATTATTATGACCCCCCCCCATCAGTACTTCGTTGGGCCGCCTGGTGACTCCACGAGATGATGAAAGGTGATGCGAGGAATCTGACACGGCACTGTGGCCCTTCTGTTGTCTTGTACCAGTCTTGCCCCTCCCCCGTTCTGCCCTAACATTGACTAGTCGCTGACGGCCACAATTCGCACGTTCAGACCCAGATTTTCGGCTGACAGTCCGGTCTTTAAACACTTTAACAATGAGCCGCTCCTGAACATGTAACGCATTCTGCTGTTTTGCTGATACTCGCTCCATGGCTCCGAGCGCCAACAATCATCCCGCGTTCCAAGGCTGTTACATCGCGTTGTTTCCCCGAATCTTCCCAATCACTTCTACTGTCGTGGTAACCAACCTGCTTCCCTATTTATAATGGTCTGGCCCTC